ACCAGAGTCTGAATCAATCTAGATGTCTATATATAATCAGCCATAATGCTGATTGATTTAAACATGTCAGATGTCATACCTAAGTCACTTGGGAAAATACCTGCCTTGCAAGTAGAACTAAAATATTTCATATTTAATAGCTTATTTCATACGAGGATGGTACTTCCTAGGACTTGGGGATGTATATTTGATTAGGTTGAATACATATCTAGATTATTTAATAAATAAATACATTTAAACAGGGCAATAAGATTGCAAGAATGAATCACGCACTTATCACGCCCTATACCATGGTCAGGGCAACATCAGGTCTATAACAGCAAGTAATAAATCACTATTTGGGATTAGGAGTGATATCGGGATAATACTGGAATTAGAGGGATGACAGGAGGGATGACATTGGGTTGTTGCTCATGAAAATACAATAAACTATCTTATATATATTCAATCAAATGAAAATCTAATAGTTCGCAAACAAAAAAAACCTGTCAAACCTAATAACATACTAGAAAAACAGCAACTCCACGGAGTAGCAAATCCCACCGAACAAAACATATTTAGATTATTAGTGGCCATCTTGAAAATTCCTTCTTGAGCAGAGCTTGTTTGTCCCTAAGCATCAACATATAAAATGTAAACCATATATCCATAAATTAAAATTTGAGTTATCAAAGATTACATTCTTTTTTACTAAAAATGGCGGCCATTTGAAATTCTGCAGTCATTTTGAAAATCTTTCTCGAACAGAGCTATAGTGTCCCTAGGTATCATCATATAAAATCTGAATTAAGAAAAATGGCAACCATTTTGAAATTCAGCTGCCATTTTGAAAATTCTTCCTCGAACAGAGCTACTGTGTCCCTAGGCATTATCATATAAAATTTAAAACAAATCCATTCGCTGGTATTAGAGTTATCAAAATTTTATGTTTTTTTTACGAAAAATGGCCACCATTTTGAAATTCAGTGGCCATCTTGAAAATTCATTTTTGAACAAAGCAACTGTGTCCCTAAAATTTGAACCAAATCCGTTCACTGGTATTTGAGTTATCAAAGATTATGTTTTTTTAACGAAAAATTGCCGTCATTTTGAAATAAAGCGGCCACCTTGAAAATTCTTTGTCGAACATAGCAACTGTGTCCCTAGGCATCATCGTATAGAATTTGAAGCAAATCCGTTCACTGGTATATGAGTTATCAAAGATTACGTTCTTTACAAAAATTGGCCGCCATCTTGAAATTCAGCCGCCATCTTGAAAATTATTTCTTGAACAGAGCTACTGTGTCCCTAGGCATAATCATAAAAAATTTCAACCAAATCTGTTCACTGGTATTTCAGTTATCAAAGATTACATTTTTTACGAAAAATTGCCACCATTTTGAAATTAAGCGGCCATCTTGATAATTTTTTGTCGAAAATAGCTACTGTGTCCCTTAGCATCATCATATAAAATTTGAACCAAATCCGTTCACTGGTATCTGAGTTATCAAAGATTACATATTTTTACGAAAAATGGCCGCCATTTTAAAATTAAGCGGCCATCTTATAAATCTCTTTTTATGCGAAACTCCTTTGTCCCTAGGCATCAGCATATAAAATCCGTCAACTTGTATTTGAGTTATCAACGATTACATTTTTTACGAAAAATGGTGGCCATTTTGAATTGAGCGGCCATATTGAAAATTCCTTCTCGAGCAGAGGTCCTACACTCATAATGCATAAGCCTATAAAATATGAACCAAATCCGTCAACCGGTATTGGAGTTATCGCCCGGACGGACGGACGAACGGACAGACGGCTTCTCTATATCCCCCTCGAACTTCGTTAATTTCCTGTATCTCAAGTCCTTAATAGAAAACTAGATTCCAATACTGAAAAAACAAGAAGCATTGGTTAATTTGTCCAAAAGACACAATGCTAGTGAACAATGGTTAGTGGATTAAAATGAAATTTGATTTTCAATGACAGAAGTTTCATAAATGACATGCATTTGTCGTGTCAATTTTATAATTGCACAATCTGAAAAAATCTGCACAAAGTCAGATTTTGGATGTTTTTTCAGACTAAAAATTCTGTTATTACATTACGGAAAGCTATAGGGGACCTGCGCATAATTCAAAATCGAATGGAGTTTTAACATGGGAGTGATATCACACATCGCGGCCCAGTCAGATAGATTTCATCGCGCACTGAATGAATTACAGGGGCCGCGTTGTGCAAAGTTAATTTAAATAAAGTGCGCAGAAATTCCGGCATTCAGTGCGCGATGAAAAAATGATTATCTGTGAGTAAATAACGAATAAAAATGCGTGGCACCACGAATTTGATTTTTTTCGAAAGACTGCGGAGTGAACCAGCGAAATGACAATTTTGGATAATATTGATGGCTCTAACGAGGAGAACTTTGAGATTTCCCGATTCTACCGCGCAGCACATCCAGGACCATGATGCGCACTTTTATCAGATTCGATTCTAATATGGTTTCAAAAATAATGTTCATTAAAAGAGGGCGTATGCATACAGATTACACATGGCGTTATGTTGAAGTGACCCTTGCAAAGGGTTCCATTGAAAATATATTATTTTGGGCCATTTCATATCTTTTAATTGATATTGTATAAAATATTTTCAATGTTTGAAAATTATAATCTTATAAATAACATTTTATGTAATAAAACTGTAACGAAATGGTAAATACGGAATATGATGCAATACAATGCAGTGCAATATGATGTTATACAATGCAGTGCAATATGATGCAATACAATGTGGTGCAATATGATGTAATACAATGCGGTGCAATATGATGCAATACAATGCAGAGCAATATGATGCAATACAATGCAGTGCAATATGATGCAATACATTGTAGTGTAATATGATGCAATACAAAGCAGTGTTATATGATGCAAAAAATGCAGTGCAATATGATACAATACAATGTAGTGCAATATAATACAATAAAATGCAGTGCAATACGATGCAATACAATACAGTGCAATATAATGCAATACAATGCAGTGCAATGCAATACAGTGCAAAACAATGCCGTGCAGTGCAATACAATGTAGTTCATTTCAATACAATGCAGTGCAATACAATGTGGTACAGTGCAATACAATGCAGTGCAATACATCGCAGTTCAATACAGTGCAATACAATGTAGTGCAATGCAGTGCAATAAAATACCATACAGTGCAATTCAATACAATGTAATACAACACAGTGCAATACAATACAATGCTGTGCAATACAATACATTACACTGCAATAAAATACAATGCAGTGTAATAAAATGCAGTGTAAATCAAGACAATGCAATACAATACTGTGCAATACAAAGCAATGCAGTGTAATACAATACAGTGCAACACAATGTGGTACAGTGCAATACAATGTAGTGCAATGCAGTGCAATAAAATACAATACAGTGCAATTCAATACAATGTAATACAACACAGTGCAATACAATACAATGCTGTGCAATACAATACATTACACTGCAATAAAATACAATGCAGTGTAATAAAATGCAGTGTAAATCAAGACAATGCAATACAATACTGTGCAATACAAAGCAATGCAGTGTAATACAATACAGTGCAACACAATGTGGTACAGTGCAATACAATGCAGTGCAATACAATACATCGCAGTTCAATACAGTGCAATACAATGTAGTGCAATGCAGTGCAATAAAATACAATACAGTTACAATGTAGTTCATTTCAATACAATGCAGTGCAATACAATGTGGTACAGTGCAATACAATGCAGTGCAATACATCGCAGTTCAATACAGTGCAATACAATGTAGTGCAATGCAGTGCAATAAAATACCATACAATGCAATTCAATACAATGTAATACAACACAGTGCAATACAATACAATGCTGTGCAATACAATACACTGCACTGCACTGCATTTTTTGCATCATATAACACTGCTTTGTATTGCATCATATTACACTACAATGTATTGCATCATATTGCACTGCATTGTATTGCATCATATTGCTCTGCATTGTATTGCATCATATTGCACCGCATTGTATTACATCATATTGCACCACATTGTATTGCATCATATTGCACTGGATTGTATAACATCATATTGCACTGCATTGTATTGCATCATATTCCGTATTTACCATTTCGTTACAGTTTTATTACATAAAATGTTATTTATAAGATTATAATTTTCAAACATTGAAAATATTTTATACAATATCAATTAAAAGATATGAAATGGCCCAAAATAATATATTTTCAATGGAACCCTTTGCAAGGGTCACTTCAACATAACGCCATGTGTAATCTGTATGCATACGCCCTCTTTTAATGAACATTATTTTTGAAACCATATTAGAATCGAATCTGATAAAAGTGCGCATCATGGTCCTGGATGTGCTGCGCGGTAGAATCGGGAAATTTCAAAGTTCTCCTCGTTAGAGCCATCAATATTATCCAAAATTGTCATTTCGCTGGTTCACTCTGCAGTCTTTCGAAAAAAATCAAATTCGTGGTGCCACGAATTTTTATTCGTTATTTATTCACAGATAATCATTTTTTTCATCGCGCACTGAATGCCGGAATTTCTGCGCACTTTATTTTAATTAACTTTGCACAACGCGGCCCCTGTAATTCATTCAGTGCGCGATGAAATCTATCTGACTGGGCCGCGGTGTGTGATATCACTCCCATGTTAAAACTCCATTCGATTTTGAATTATGCGCATGTCCCCTATAGCTTTCCGTAATTACATTTATCTTAAACTATTGGTATGCATCTCATGAAATTCACATACAAGTGATAAGGGTTACCATTTTGCATTGTTTGACTTTTTGTGAGATTTTACAAGTCAATGAAATGAATGTAGATCAAATAACTTTACATCAAAGTCTAGGTCATTTTGAAAATATGCAATATTGAGAATGATAATCTGCATAATTAGGGGCAAATGGATCAAGACAAGATTTTGATTTGAAATGACATAATCTATTTTATATCAAAATTACAAACTCAAAGCATATTTATTCAATTTAAGCCTATATACATGACATATTTTATCATACATTCAAATACCTTTCAATGAGTTAACTAATAAAAGGTAGGAGAATGTGTTCTATTTCATTTAACACCAATTAATTTCATAATCTAAGCTGCTGATTAATACACTTGTAAATTGCAAATTGATGTATATATAATCTTATTTGATAAAAAATACTAAAAGTTTTCTAAGCTTTTTTTTGTCTATACTATTCCCATCACCGCCTCATTTCCTTCCTCTACCCCCATGATGTATACAATGTGCCCATTAATGCACTATGTATATTTATCAATTTTGCCTTGTCTTAATTTGTCAGTCCAAAGTTAACAACATGTAGTTTAATCTAATACACACTTGTGATTTCAAAGACAATGAATGTGGGTAAAGGTTAGATGGCACTAATTAACCAGAATATCTAATCAACATGATAAAGGTTCAGCATGAGGTCCATTGATGGGTCTTAGCTGAGTCTTAACAAAACTTAAAGTATGAGTCCCTCTCTTTGGCAAAGCTTGCATCATCTGATCCAAGCACATGCGGGAAGATATCAACTTCTGTTTCTTTCTTGAACATGATAAATTCCTTAGCATATTCTGCCCCCAATGCCTCACAAAAGTTGACATCATCTTTCAGGGCATCTAGAGCCTCTGCAAAAATTTTGGGTAGCACAGCAGCTTCACGGTCGTACTCCTTTGGCAACTCAAGCTTGTTTGTAACACCATCAAGGCCAGCAGCAATGGTAGCTGCTGCAACATTATAAGGGTTGGAAATGCCAGATGGGAGACGACTTTCAATGTAGGTATGTGATGGAGAGTAATTCTTGACACGCATCAGGGCCATTCTGTTATCGATGCCCCAGTTACAGAGTGTTGGTAGAGCCATATCATGCATCCTACGATAGCAGTTTACACTTGGGCAACATAGGGAGGCCATTGCTTTAGCATGAGATAGGAGGCCGGCTGTCCATTGCTTCATAAACTCAGACATCTTTTTAGTGTCATTCTCCCCTGAGAATATATTAACGCCATCTTTCCAAAGAGAGTGGTTGAAATGGGTACCATTTGTGCAAATCCCAGGGAAAGGCTTGGACATGAATGATGCGATGTATCCTTCTTGCTGACAAACTTCTTTTACAGCAAGTTTGAATCTGAAGAAGTTATCGAGTGCTTTAATTCCAAACTCTGGTTTTGTCACGAATTCAAATTGGCCATCACCATACTCAGCATGCATTGCCTGAACTTGTATTCCTATATCAGACAATGCTTTTTCTATCTTGTACAGAATCCCTTCGTTTTGTAAGAACAGTAAATCAGCGAAGATATCAGTGCCTTTGTAAACAGGCTCCATGGTTTCAGCGTGAAATAATTGAAACTCAAACTCAAGACCGATCATGAGATCTAAGCCCATTGATGTAAGCCTGCCCAGTTGTGCCTTGGCTACTGATCTTGGTGTTGGTAGCTCATCTCCTTTAGCTTTGAACATGTCACATAGCACCTGACCAACTTTATGTTCCCCATTACCAGCCCAGGGGAGCAACCTAAACGTATCAACGACAGGAACAGCAAACACATTCTCAAATCGTTCTTCTGATAAATCTAAAAGGGCCATTGGAATAACGTTACATCGTGGACTCGCTAAGGTAGAAATATTCCCAGCTGCTATTCCTGTCTCGACATAATCAGCAATGCATTTTTTGGGAACAACTTTACTTCGCGAAATACCATGTGCTTCGGGGATTGTAAATCGTAGATAGTCACAAGGGAGTGTAATAAGTTTGGTGACATCATCATCTGACAGAAAGATTGATTTCTTTAGAGCTGTAGTCATGTTGAAACAATACAGTATCAATCCTGAAATCCAGATGTTCAGAATAAAATTCATGATTGTGTTGTCTAACATTAGCTGTTTTAAGTACCTAGACTTCATGACAAAAGATCAAGACCCATTTTTATTTGCCAACCGAGTCTGTACATGAACACTTGTAAATAAGATATGTATAACAAATATGAAATGTTATTGGAACAGGGCTAAATGACATAAGAAAACACTAATACATAAAAATACTTACAGAAATAAACGATTGGTGGGAAACAGCAAAGTAATTGTGAGCCTTCAGTGATATTCACCTTGTTTGATATTCAAGTACAAAAATATATCCTATTGCACCACACTTTGAAAATTGCACTCAAGATGAATCATACAAGTACATTAAACTAGGCCAATTCTAGAATTGTGACACCATTCCAAAAGTACAGTTAACTATCCCACCGAACAAATTTCGACGGGGATATAGCAAAGCCATCTGTCCGTCCATTCATCCGTCTGTTTTTCCGGGCGATAACTCAAATACGAGTTGACTGGTTTGATTCAAATTTTATAGGCTTATGCCTTATGGGGGTAGAACCTCTGCTGGAAAAGGAATTATCAAAATAGCCGCCATGTTTCGTAAAAAATATAATCTTTGATAACTCTAATACTAGTTTATGGATTTGTTTCAAATTTATATGTTGATGCCTATAAACAAAGGAGCTATGCCGAAGAAGAGAATTTCAAAATGGCTGCAAAATATCAAAATGGCGGCCATTTTTCGTAAAAAAAGTAATCTTTCATAACTCAAACACCAGTGAATGGATTTAGTTCAAATTTTATATAATGATGCCTCGTGAAAAAGTGAATTTGTTTACAAAGAATTTTCAATATGGCGGCTGAATTTCAAAATGGCCATGGATGGATTCGGATCAAATTTTATATGCTGATGCCTAGAGATACAATACCTCTGTTTGACCAAGAATTTTCAAGATGGTAGCTGAATTTTAAAATGGCCACTATTTTTCGTAAAAAATGAAATCTTTGGTAACTCAAAGAACGGTGAATGGATTTTCTTCAAATTTTATATGCTGATAGCAAGAAACACATTAGCTCTGTTCGATAAAGATTTTCAAAATGGCTGCTGAATTTCAAAATTGCTGCCATTTTTAGTAAAAAATGTAATCTTTGATAACTCAAATGCTAATTTACGGATATGGTTTACATTCTATATGTTGATGCCTATGGACAAACAAGCTCTACTCCAGAAGGAATTTTCAAGATGGCCACTAATAATCAAAATATGGTGGGATTTGCTACTCCGTGGAGTTGCTGTTTTTCTCATTGTTACTGATTAACTTTGCACAGGTAATTTTATCTAAAGCTGGTCTTCATCATGGCTGTCACCAAGGGGTCACAACAGGTTGGGATATTTTTGTTGCTAAAAACATGATATCATCTTTGACACTTTCCCCTGGCCATCAGTCCACTTTGTAGTCTAGACACACAACCCAGGATTCTATTGATTTTAAATCAAATCTGGGTGTTTGAAAACCTGTAATCACGGGATGTCTTCACCTAATTTGGTCAATGTGATGGAGCAGGTCGTTTTTACAAGAAAGGATGGGTATCGATATGGTGAACTTTTTGAACACAAATTTCTCTTAAACCAGTCATCAAAAAATTCTGAAAATTTATCACATCGTCAATTTAATGGTCATCTTTTGAATGGTAACAATATAATTTGAAATAAATATACATATATACAGGGTGACCGGAAAAAAGGAGACCATTGAAATAGGCAATATCTCCTAAAATAGACTAGTGACATCAATGAAATTTAGCATACATCAGGACAGTTCTATGGAAATTTGTTCCTGAAAGTGTCAATACAAGCAGTCAACTGGTTCAGGAGCTATGATCATTTACATAACATGCTCCAAATAGGCGCAATTGAGACCAACGCAGAGCTGGATACATTTGGCAAATACCCTTACATATTCCGACCTTGTTATGGCATTACATTTAGCATTTATTGCCACCTTTAGGTCAGCAATTGTCTCAGGATTGTTTTGGTACACATTGTCTTTCAAATTGCCCCACAAAAAGAAATCAGGTGGATTCAAGTTTGAGGTGTATGGAGACAAAGCTTATCTGACCTATGGCTTCTGACTCAGTTTTCCCACTCAGTTACAGTATCATCCTAAGGAGGTTTTGGGCAGCCCTTGGTTTCCATATGGGATTTAATTGTTGCCATATAGTGGTTTTAGTAACATGGCACTATGCCCAATACCTAAAGTGACTCTTAAGATTGGGTAAATCAGCACTTTGGCAACAGGATGATGAACCACATGTCAGATAACCCTTCATTGCCATTACAGCCTAGACTTGAATCCTGCTGATTTCTTTTTGTATGGATATTTGAAAGACAATCTATACCAAAACAATCCTCAGACTATTGTTGACCTAAAGAAGGCAATCACTGCTATATGTAATGCCATAATAATGCCATAGAGGGCAGAACATGTAAGGGTAGTTTGCCATATGAATCCAACTCTGCGTTGGTCTCAATTGTGCCTATTTGGAGCATGTTATGTAAATGATCATAGCTCCTGAACCAGTTGAATGCTTGTATTGAAACCTTCAGTAACAAATTTCCATATAACTGTTCCAGTGTATGCAAAATTTCATTGATGGCACTTGTCTAGTTTAGGAGAAATTAATTACTTCAATGGTCTCCTTTTTTTCCGGTCACCCTGTACTTTTCTCTATATTGTTTTAGAAAACACATCAGACACTTCTTTTGTTCTTAGTATCATATGTTCAGAATGAAATGAAACATCTTTCCGAACCTCATTGGAACAAAATGACATAAACACAACATGTTTAGGTCTCTCAATATTGTAATTGTCCAAAAGAAAGTTTGGTTGATTTAAGAAAAGTATCTTGTTAATGAAATTAAAGGTTTATCTTAATTTTTATCTATTTTGGGGTTTTTTGTTTTATTTTTTTGAATACTTTTTGTTAAAACAACCCAAATTTTCTTTGTATAACTATAATATTGAGAGGTCTAAGAAAATGTATTTGCTATCTTGTTCCAACAAGCTTCGGAAAGCTATTTTATTTCATTCTCAAGTATTGGTAAAAAAAACAAAAAGCAATTGCACTAAAAAACAAAAGAATTAAATTGTTGTCAATCAGTCAAAATTACATAAGGGACCATATTTTTTTACAAAATGTTTTCAATAATTGGTTTAAGAGAAAAACATTGTTGAATTCAGTTCACCATATCGATACCAATCTAAACTTTCATGGCATTATTTTGTAAATAAATGATGAAATCCTTACATTATGATTAAAAGTATATTTTTAATTTTGCCTGTCATTCTTTTCAACCGAAAATCCCCTTCCTTGTTAAAAATCAATGAAGCTCACTGATTGGTCAACAGACTATAGAGTATACTCATCAAATTCCCAAAAATTAATATTTCGCAAAGTGAATCACATGAATGAAATATGTACATTAGGTCTCTAAATCAAAATTTATTCCTTTTTAATCATTGGATAAATAAAAACTTTGAAATATATTGTTCCAACTACCAGCTAAACATAGTTGTAACCTAAAAATGAACTATTACATTTAACCCTTAAGTAAAATATCACTACAGTCGGTTTACTTGGTTTAAATTAATAGTGGCAATGAAGAATCTATATAAACAAGAACAAAATATTATCGGATACTAAAATATAAATAAAGATTTGAAATTAATTTGGATTTTACAATAGAAAGATAGAAAATGCCACAAGAGGGGAATCTTTCAAACAGGCTGACCTCATAAAACACAGATAAAACATTACATTCAAAGCTACCTCATCTATAAACATGACACTTGAAAAGAATACATATAGCTTCCTGTTCCCATAGACATTCGAATGTTGATATAAGTTATCAATTTCAGTAAAATACTTCCTTGAATTGTTTTAATGAGCAATTCTGAGTTAAACACGTCATGACGGTATTGATTTTTAACAGGAATAGGAAGTAGGAGGAGCCTCGTGGATGGTGTGTATAAAACCTGACACTGATACAGAGCAGAACATAACTTGCTACAACCCTCAAGCAATACATCTTGAATTGAGTCTAAACAGTATAAAGATTACAGAATACAGTACAGGAAAGATGACTACTGCATACTTAACTATGATACCACTAAGAAGGGAAGAGTCGTGGATGCTGAAAATGGAGACATCAGCATTTGGAGATGCACCAAAGCCAAACTTTAAATATATATATGAAACAATAGCAAAGATTGCAGACATCATATCTGGAAGCTTGACTGACATCATGACAAACTATGTAAGTTAATTTGCAGCATAACTGTAGGAATTTTTCTGCTTCTTAATTCTTCATATTTAACTGCTTTCATCAAACATGTTAACATGCACCATGCTTTCTAGTTGAAAGACCATGCATTCACTCATATTCAAAGTAAATTGATAAAGCATTAATCATGTTTTAACACTATTTATCTTCTCTAAACATTGAAGGAATCAATGCTACAAAAGAAATTACATAAGTAAAGAAAACATTTTGTATATTCACTTTTGTGTATAATTTCACAGTAAATAGGTATAAGGAATGAAAATTAAACCTGATAAGCATTTAGCAAGTATTACATAACAAATAAGCCAAGAAAACTTATCTTATTTTTTAGGTTGAGCATAGTATAATATCACGCAGACATGCAGATTATATTCTGAGGCAATCTACCCCAAAGCCAGAATATTTTCCAGAAATTCCAGACTCTCTAGATACCAATGTAAGTAGATATAAGCTAAATATTATGCTAAACATCATTTTTCACAAGTGATTGTTTACACTTGTATATTTAGCCTCGATTTATCATGGTGAGGGATTGGGACAAGCTAAAACAGAGCAATTATGGTTAACACAAATACAAATAGGGAGTTATATGAGACTTGATAATGACTCTACCCATGCAATTTCTAGTAAATAAGTCAATGTTCTAACCATGCATTTCTATTTTCCTGAAATAATCATGCTCCTTCTCTATTGGTAAATGTTAAAACTTTTCCGATTAAATCATACAGATTTAACATAACTTTGAATGATTTTTAAACATTATATAATGTTTTTGTTTCAGGCGGCATCAGTCGTAGTGAGCATATACGACAGTCTTCAATTCATATCTCTATTCGTGGATTTAATAAACCATGGACTGGAGGAAGAGAGTGCCTCAGTACAAAAATATGCCTCAGTGAAAAACAATAGAATAATCCAACTTAAAAGTGAACTACACTACACAATATTCGAACACAATGCAATTCATCCTAAGAAAATTGACTTAACCATAGATGATCTGCTAGAATTGAACAAATTCATAAGTGAAAACCGCTACCAGAGTTATTTCATGATTCTAAAAGAAGTGAAAACATACATGGAATTCATAGAGAAGCAGTTCCAACATTTGGCGAAAACTGTCTAATAGAACAAATATATAGGAGAACTGAGTCAAACAAGAATTTATGTTAGACCAGCACAGTGAGAACCAGAGATCCCCTCAAGGGGTATAAGTGACTCCTTTTTCACAAACTGGTAATCATTATGGCATTCGGGTTTTTAAACCCCCTCTTATCAGCTGCTTGCAAATGTCAAGACAAAGTATGATATAGATATCATGGTGCAGAAATTGTATTGAAGTATTAAATTAAGCATTATGACTTTTCAAAATGTATTATATGTATTCTACTATTTTAGCATTAAGCATTATAACTTTTCAAAATGTATTATATGTATATGTATTCTACTGTTTTAGCATTAAGCATTTTACAACTTTTCAAAATGTATTCTATTATTTCTAGCAGTATAATAATCAATTATTATTTATCTAAAAATATTATACCTAAAATCAAAACCAACAGATATTACTACAGCATTGTATTACTTTATCAACACTTATACCCATGTAAATAGTTTTATGTACATATTGTAAATATTAGCCATAAAACACACAATGTATATTTCTTGAAATTGCTTCAAAGTGAAGTTCAGGGGTACGAATCTGTTAATTTATTAGTATTTTAGTTTTAAAGATATGTACAAAATAACAGCATTATGATCTGACAATCTGTTTTCAGAATATACTTAAAAATGATATATATGTGTTTGTCTGTTTATATCTGTTTGTATATTTCAATGAATGGACATTAATTCTGTTTCAATTTTGTAATTTCTTGAGCTAATACCTGTATAAAATTTCATATTTTAAAACTTAAACCTGCACATCACCTCAAAATGGAATATATGGATATTTTTGCACTTTTGTACATTTTCATTCCGCCAACAAGTTAATTAATGCTCTAATATAAAGTTGGCATGATCATAAACTTTTTTCTGCGTAGTATCAAATCACAAGCATTTAGTTAAAATAACAAAACAAAACAAAAACATCACTTTTCGAACCTCGGCCATCCGCATGGCAATCAAGGTTTCTACCCCTGGACCACTGTGTTATTCAGTGCCTTTGATGAAAATTAATTCATATTATTTCAAACACTCTCATTCAGTAGTGACGTCGTATTCTAAATTTAGAATCCTTCCAAATTAAATTGTCACAGACAATCAAAGCAAACGAAGGAACAATCGTCATAATGACACATTTGTTGTAAGTATTTGTACACAAGATTTGCCCCATTTGTACACCATTGTATATTCTTTCATTATAGCTCAAAATCTTTCAGTTGACCCAATAACAACCCAAAATAGTGTTCTAGGGTGATGTGCAGGTTTAAGTTTCACTTCTAGTTTATGCAGAGGCATCTATACAAAGATAAAACAAGATATTTAATGTAAGGCAGATATATGGATCACTAAATCATACACTTTTAATGAAAATAAGGTCTCAAATGAATATTAGATATGAGCAGGTCAATTTGGGATACATATTGAGTCAATATATACAGCCTCTGATTCAAAAACTGATGCAGTGAGTCATACTCTTATTCATTTGAAATATAATTGAATACATGTTACAATTACTCATCCATATGTGGGAGAAAAATCATATGATGACCCCATCTACTACTAAATCATGATATATCAATTTCTGCCAGCAAAAATAGCTATAACACCATTTTGGGAGAATTTACATTTTGGAAAGATTGCAGAATTTAAACATGTACATGCCTGATCAAACTATATCGTGTATGATGTAGTATGATGTGGTCCTGGATGACTTTATCAATTTATCAGTTTGATGCAAGTAGAAATGATCTTGAATTTCGCTATTATATTTTCAAAATTTTGTCAAAATGATATCATATTTGAAATTAAAGCGGCTCTAAGGTCTGTGGAGAGAAAAATGGAGAAATTTTACCTTTTCTGAGCTATCGGGGTGAAGTTTGGTCCAACATCTTCTTCCTTATTCCTATTTTATAAAAATGTATGCATATGGCAATATTCATCAACCAGTAGAACTGGCAAATCGTTTAGAATCTACAATTCCATACAAGGAGTCCCACTCATAGATTTTTCAAATTCTTTCCAAGTCGACGTCGAAACACCTAGCGGGTGAAATTGAAACTAATTTTTCTGGCTGCTCGAATCGATAAAATCTCTGATAGTGTGAGTCTTTTTATGAAATCTTTCTGATAGAAAACACTTAATTAATATTAGAAAGCATTAAATGTTGAATCCGAAGCGTAATCTAAAATAAAAGTGAAAAAACATTGCGCGGACGTCAGAGAAAAACTTCCGGTTTAATAAAAAATGGCGGACGTCGAAGGAGAAATTATGACGAAGAATTAGAGGATTTTCCTTTGCCATTATCGATCGTTATAAGGTATGTGCACAAATTCTAGTAGCATACATGGAAAATAGATACATTTTTAAAGGCAACAACATATTCAAAGCTTTCATTTTACGATAGGCCCAGGATCATTGGATACGACTCGGCAATCGATACTCCCACTTTAATACAATAATACATTATATATACAAAATCACTTCAAGAAAAACGTGACTTCTGGGTCGGTTGTAAACATCTTGCTTACACAAACTTTTCCCCTTGTATTATATATTTTTGTATTTCGTAATCTTCTATATTTTTTGAAGCAAGAATATCTAAGTAATAAATGAAAATGTGAACTTTCCATAGCAAAAATGGCAACTATTTTGAAAATAGGCAAGCTTTTGAACAGGTAGCCATAGGGGGGTTTCTTGTATTGATAATTAATAAAAGTAACCCAAAACTGGTTTTAAAACATGCCACTATTAGACTATATTATGGACAGACTGACAAGGGGACAATTGCAAAACTCACCAACCATGTGAGCTAAAAATTTGATAACCTGGTCCTAGTGTCAAAATATCTTATTACTAAATTGACACTTTACATATAGGGGTGAAACAAAACATTACCAGTTGCCTTTTCAGAATTCCAAGATGGTAAGTGGTAAGTATGTTATAGGTAAATAACGTGATATATATCACTCCCTGATAATTGAATTAAGGTGGGCCCCTCATTAAATATATTTGACGAAACGTTCTGAAAATTGCTTAAAGTAGGCGTCATTGTAACAGCTCCCACTCCGTCAATATTTTATCAATTTCTATTTTCTTTATATGGAATGAAAGAAGAATATCCACTCTAAATGCGTAAGTAAAAATCAGTGTTATATATATATATACACTGCAACATGCTGTATTAAAGCTTTGAAAAGGAGTTAAAATCACTTTAATAGATATATGTACAAGCTTTAAGTACGACACAAGATAATTTTGGTATGCGTCACTAAAATCGTATCCGACTTGGGCTATCATTTTCATCCACTCTTGGATATTGCCGATCTCCACTCATTCGCTGCGCTCACTCTTGGAGATGGGCGATATCCACTCATGGATAAAAATAGTATCCCTCAAAAATCATAGGATATCCTCTACATATGCTGCAAGAGACTTAACGTGTCTTGGATCAAATTAACATGGTTCAATAACAACAAAAGTGACAACATGTCAACCAATCCAATCTGCAATATGACCTCAACCCTTACGATAAGTATGATGAATATCTCATAAATACTAACATTTTAGAAAATAATTCAAATATATGACTAGATACAAGCAATGCCAAAGCAAATGTATACCATTACCTAATTACCAAAATGTGGGTTGGTAGTTACCATTTTCACCACCAGGTAGCTAATTTGGGGTAAATAACATGGCAGGGTATTAGAACGTTCCCTTAAACTTGAATAGTCATCAGTTCTTAGTTGTTCAATTTTCATATTACCCTTATATATCTGATAGTATACAAAATAAAATATGTCCAGTAAAAGAAAATATTATCTGTCCAGTACAAGAAGAGATATTTCACTTTTTGTGATTTTATAACATGAGGTCTATGGGAAATCTCCCCTACCTAGACATCACATTTTTAAAGAAAATTGTATTTTCAAAGTTGATAAACACTTTTTAAACCACATTTCTAGATGTAATTTCACATGTAGATATCAAATATGATATCACTTTGACTGAATTTGGTGATTGCAAACCATGCACTAGAAATTCAAATATAATTTCCTGAGTTCAGCAAGGTCTCGCTAAGAGCATATAGTAAACTAGAAAATGGCAACTCCACGGAGTAGCAAATCCCAACGAACACTATATAAATCATCAATCTGTACAGTCACAATATAATATTTACCATCTACTCTTACCTTCAATAAATATTTTAAATCATGTAACCATACTTTCAAGATAACTCTAAGTAATGGCGAATTTCTGCTATCGTCAGCTATTTTGAATTTTCAGAGGCGCAAATCAGAAAAACAATGCCATATAATTGTGATCTACTCTGAAATTCCTTCAATTTGAGTATAATATAGCCATACTTTTAAGAGATCAGAAAACAATTGGGAAATCCTGCATTAGGCGGCCATTTTGAATCAGAAAAACGTTACAATATTTGCAATCTACTCAAAATTGCCTTTCATTTGAGTATAATAAAGCTATACTTCAAAAACATCTCAAAATTAACGCAATTTCCTGTTTTCCCGATCCTCCATTTACGGCCCCTGGGGGTCAGGGTGAAAAACCTGGGATATATGTGAAATAGATAGATGATGTCAATATACTACCAAAATTTCAAATAATAATATTTATTATTTTGGTTTAAAATAAAAAACATAAGATTTTTGCGAAAAATTTCCGCCATTTTTAAACTGGCGACCATCTTTTTTGCGTAAAACTGTTCACCAATATACATCATTCCACCAAATATGAAGAAAATCTGTCAACTAGTATTCGAGTTATCTTCCGGACAGACGGACAGACGGACAGACTGACTGACTGACAGACTGATTGACAGACTGACGGACAGACGGACGGACAGCTTCACTATATCCCTACAGAACTTCGTTCGTTGGGATAATTAGTGAACGCTGTCTGAAGAGTAAAGAAAATAAATGTACAAAAATCTTTTCAAATTTTGATTTTCCAAGGATGGTTTGTAAAAATATATTTTCATCAACTTTTAAGAGAGAGAGATGACATTATTCAATGGGTCAATTAGACATTTTAGAAATGTATAACTTTCTGAAACAAAGTTGGGTGGATGACTTCTTGACTTATTTAATATTCCTAGGCAATGAAGGATTGGTATTGAAATTACATCCCTATATGACTCCATCTTCCTGGTTTCAGCTGAATCAATTAAGTCCTAAGAATGGATTTCATAAATTGAGCCAGGCCACAGGAAAAGGGGTCTTATCACAGATTTTTCAATATTTTGATTTTTTGATCTTAAAAAGCATAAAAAGACCTTTCAAATGAGCCATGATTTATGTCTTAACGATTTTTCCTTGCGTTTATAGACCAAAAAGTTGGATTTTAATTTACCACATTTTCCTCTTAATCTTGGGCACATTTTTGGCTCTGTAGCACAATTTTAATTGTTGTGATAAGACCGGTTTTCCTATGGCCAGGCTCAATTAATCATGACAATGAAAATAGATTGAAGATTTTAATTCTCATTCATAATTGATATTCAAATCCTTGTAGGAAATAGTTTCCATAACATATCTCAATCACACCAATAGCTCTGCTGACGTATGTGTATTGTGCAAATCCATAAAAAAGACTACCTTTCTTTCAATGACATATCTTATTCGCACAACTAGCTCTGATGTATGTGTATTGTGCAAATTCTTAAAAAGACAACCTTGTAGCTCAAGCCATTACAACTCTTACATCCTATTTGAACAATTTATTTACATGTTATTATAATGGCAGTGTAATACAACATTGTGTTTTAAAACTTTATTGGATAAATAAACTTCCTCAAATCTGAGAAATCAACGTCATCAAATTATCGATTTGTTTGAATGAACTTCCTCACTGTGCAGGAGGATCACCTGAATCTGTTCTTTCCTGAATGTGGAATGACTGCATATAAAGCCTGACATTGTCACCATGCAGAGACAACTTGCTACAACTCTCAAGTAAAGCATCTTATACTGAGACCAAGCAGCAAATAACACAGAGAAGATGACGATTGGAAGAACGATTGACAATTCATATACATTTGAAACAATAGCAGCAATAGCAGACATAATCTCAGGAAATCTAACTAATATCATGGATGACTATGTAAGTTCATAAAAATCACTTTTTCTCTAATTGCTATTTTCAAAACAGATGTTTTATATTAGACTTTCTGATAATAGGTAATGGAGCATGCAAAATTATTGGACATAAATATCCGGAATATGAATATTTAAATCCCATGAAGGGCAATATCTGAAAGAAAACTACAAAAATCATGCATAATATGTATAGCAAATCAGAACAAGGCATTAACATGACAAAATGTCACCACCTAAAACAATTTGGTCAATTTAAAGCAAGTTGGAAAATACCTTTTGACCTTAAGAAGGTTTGATTTGAACTTCTTAGAACATGTAGATGATTTTGAAAAAAAAATTCGTCAATTTGAAGCAAGTTGAAAAAATACCTCTTTGACTTTTTTTGACATTGAGAAGGTCATTGAAGGTCAAATGTCAAATGTAAAGTCAGATTTGAACTTCTGAGAACATGTAGATGATTTTGAAAAAAAAATTAAGTAAATTTGAAGCAAGTTGAAAAAAGACCTTTTTGACCTTTTCAAGGTCATTGAAGGTCAAATGTCAAATCTAAAGTCAGATTTGAACTTCTGAGAACATGTAGATGATTTTGAAAAAAATTAGTCAATTTGAAGCAAGTTGAAAAAAGACCTTTTTGACCTTGAGAAGGTCATTGAAGGTCAAAGGTCAAATTTAAAGTCAGATTTGAACTTCTGAGAACTTGTTAAGTCAAATTTGAACTTCTGAAAAGATGTAGATGATTTCTAAAAAAAAATTTGGTCAATTTGAAGCAAGTTGAAAACAGACCTTTTTGACCTTTTTTGACCTTGAGAAGGTCATTAAAGGTCAAATGTCAAATCTAAATTCAGATTTGAATTTCTGAGAACATGGAGATGATTTTGAAAAAAAAATTTAGTCAATTTGAAGCAAGATAAAAAAATACCATTTTGACCTTTTTTGACATTGAGAAGGTCATTGAAGGTCAAATGTCAAATCTAAAGTCAGATTTGAATTTCTGAGAACATGTAGATGATTTTGAAATTGAAGGTCAAAGGTCAAATTTAAAGTCAGATTTGAACTTCTGAGAACTTGTTGTCAAATTTGAACTTCTGAAAAGATGTAGATGATTTAAAAAAAAAATTTGGTCAATTTGAAGCAAGTTGAAAAAAGACCTTTTTGACCTTTTTTGACCTTGAGAAGGTCACTGAAGGTCAAATGTCAAATCTAAAGTCAAATCTAAAGTCATATTTGAATTTCTGAGAACATGTAGATGATTTTGAATAAAAAATTTAGTCAATTTGAAGCAAGATGAAAAAATACCATTTTGACCTTTTTGACATTGAGAAGGTCATTGAAGGTCAAATGTCAAATCTAAAGTCAGATTTGAATTTCTGAGAACATGTAGATGATTTTGAAAAAAAAATTTAGTCAATTTGAAGCAAGTTGAAAAAAGACCTTTTTGACCTTTTTTGACTTTGAGAAGGTCATTGAAGGTCAAATGTCAAATCTTGAGTCAAATCTAAAGTCAGATTTGAATTTCTGAGAATACATAGATGGTTTTGAAATTTTTTTTTAGTCAATTTGAAGCAAGTTGAAAACAGACCTTTTTGACCTTTTTTGACCTTGAGAAGGTCATTGAATGTCAAATGTCAAATCTTAAGTCAAATCTTAAGTCAGATTTGAATTTCTGAGAACACGTAGATGATTTTGAAAAAAAAATTTAGTCAATTTGAAGCAAGTTGAAAACAGACCTATTTGACCTTTTTTGACCTTGAGAAGGTCATTGAAGGTCAAATGTCAAATCTAAAGTCAGATTTGAAGGTCAAATGTCAAATCTAAAGTCAGATTTGAATTTCTGAGAACATGTAGATGATTTTGAAAAAAAAAAATTTAGTCAATGTGAAGCAAGTTGAAAAAAGACCTTTTTGACCTTGAGAAGGTCATTGAAGGTCAAATGTCAAATCTAAAGTCAGATTTGAACTTCTGAGAACATGTAGATGATTTAGAAAAAAATTGAAGTCAGTCTAAACAGTATTTGTTAAGTTATAGGAAGTTGTAAGAAATTGTTACAGACGCCGGACGCCAGACGCCGGACGCCAGACGCCGGACGCCAGACGCCGGACGCCAGACGCCGGACGCCAACCACCAACCGCCGTCGCAAAAAAAACGGAGACCATAACAATATGTCACCACTTTTGGTGGTGACATAAAAATTGAATAAAATTCATTTCAGGTCAAGTACAGTATTGTAACAAGCAGAGTGGCAGAATTTATCCAAAATCATTCTACATCCAAACCACATGGTTTCCCAGCTATCCCGGATTCTCTACATGAAGATGTAAGTTAAAGTAATCCAAAATTATACATTTAGGCAATTTTATTATGGTCACATATTGAATTGTTATGACCTCCAACTTTTTTGAGGATGGTGTTCGGCATATGGTGGTTCATGTTCAGCAGTTGGTGTTTGGCATCTGTAACAAATGAGCAGTGGTGACATTTAACATGTTAATGCCTTGTTTATAGTCACTACAACAATTTATAATGAAATAAAAGGAAATGAGATTAAGACAATGTAACCTAACCAATTGACAGACTGACTGAAGTGGAAATATTTAGGAAGAATACTACCTTGCTTGAATCTATCTTACTTTTTTCACTAAAATAATAAAACTGCAAAGTTATCACTTATGCAAGACAAAGGCCAAATTCATCTATATTCAATTGCATGATTGTTATATTCAAAGTGGCAAGGCAAAACTTCAATCTAACTTCATGAAAAGTTGATTTTATTAAAAGAACCCAATTCAAATAAATGCCTGAATTAGTAATTTCAACAACTACTCTAACTGAGCTATCAACTATTAAAATTATTTCTGATTTCAGGGAGCAACAGCGGTGGTCAGAGTATATGAAGACCTTCAAGTTATGTCCTCATTTCTGCGTTTGATAAACGAAGCATTGATGAAGGACAGTGCCTCTATGCAAGCATATGCCTCAGTGGAAATCACCAAATGGGATAATCTAGAATTAGAACTTAAAACTGCAATGGAAGTTTACAATGCTAGCTATTCAAATACAATTAGCTTAGAAATTGAAGACCCGTTGGAAGTGGACGAATTCATCTACCAGAAATACTTCATGATTCTAAAGGAAGTGAAGGCATATATGAAATTCATAGTAAGGCAGTTTCAACACTTAGTCAACTCTGCTTGATTGAACACACACTACCCTACCTCGATAGCGCATGCGCGAATTTTTTGGCTTTCAATCAGGTCGCTTTTGAGTATATCGACTGCTTAGTCAAAAGGTTAATTTGTTTGGTGCTCGGAGTGAGTCAATATTGCTATTCGCTGAACTTCAGTGGTGCAATAGTGAAGTCCATGTTCCAAGTTATATGATAGTTGAAGAAAGAATGTAAATAATATCGTTTTAAATTTTAAAATATTTGATATGTCATAGTACACGGTACACAGCTGCAAAAGTTGATCAATACAGGGTACAAGGAATGTAAATTGTTCAATAGTACAGGGAGCGAGAAAGTAAGCTGATTATACAGACATACTATGTCCCGATCTCATGTATATTTACGTTGCAAACAGTGAGAATAATGCTAAAAAGGCCGCATGTTGATGCTTTGAGGTGTCATCAATTGTTATTTAATCCAAATAAAGTAAACATTATTTAGTAGACACGGGCTTTCAGGTCGTATATGCATTTTAGTCATTAAATTAACAAGAACGCTGGATTATACGTGTTACTAGGGTATCAAATTGAAATAAAATAACGAAATTAAATATGAACACGTAAGTGATAAATGACTATCGGCTATCAGGATTAATGACTATCCGCTATTCAGAATAATTAAAATTGCGTGAACTACATGTAAAGAATCTTTCTATATAACCCCTTGAATGGTCTAATTCACTACCGTCCTCAAAAACCGATCAATTAAAATAGTTTGTTCAAAATACCATCATGCCACGACATTTTGTTTTTCACAATTTGCTGTAGAGGTGATATGACGTCGTATTTCTCTATTATTGTAAAAAAACTAAAACCAGATCGATGTAGTCTTATATGACGTGTTGAATGTCAGATGTTTTTGGATGGTATCTGCTCCAGTGATTTTGCATTTAATCATGAAACGCTCATCACAAGACACCTCGAAACAAAGATTATCCTCCTTGTGACAAGAGGAAAAATGTTTCACAATATGTTATGCCTTACGGCAAAGTAAAGATACATTTCTGGGACGACTTTTTGCATCTTAAGATTTTAGAAAAACAATTAATTCACAAAAGTACAGTTGAATAACATACTGGGAAAAGTATCCACATATAACACGATGACACGCAGTTTAAATAACAGTTTACTGGGGTTTTGTTACATATCAATGTAACATTTTCGAAGGGAAACTTACATGCTCCCTGTACGTTGACAGATTTACTGAAATATATCGTGTATTGCATTGAGTTTTGCTTCACTGCGCCCACTATTATCTATCTTTGCCTATATTGGTTTTTTGACAACAATATTCTACAAACTGCTTGATGAATCAATTCTATGTCTGGTAGAACACTAGAAATAAATGTAAAATGTATTTTACGTTCAGAAATATGGAATTAAACCCACGTCCTCCATTTGCAACTTAGCTGTACCCTGTTTCCCTTTTAAACGTGGTCACGTGGTAGGGTAGTGTGAACAGGTTAAACTGAACAGTTATATAGAAAACCAAAAACTTGCGAACCAAATAGATATTTCTAAAATCTAGGTGTTAAAAATATGTCATGCCTATGTATAATACTTGTATGTTTTAATTCTTTGCATTTTTCTGTGTAATAATTTTATTCAGAGACAATACAAATCCAAAAATATATTTATGTAGCTATGTAACAAAGGAATCTATAAAATAATAATGACAACTTTATAATTGTAGATATGTATAATTATATATGTATATTGCTGCATTCATATATTTATTAACAGCATAATTATGTATTATACATTTTATTATAATAATATCAAACTATATAGTCATTATATCTATTGCAATAATTCTTCTTGAAAGAAATATTTATCTACATTAGTTTGTAAACTAGCCACTGCAAACAGGGTAATCATTATATTATATGTTTATTGAATATTTTTGAGAATCCATATTTTAGAATATAAATATTTATAAAAATAGTCTGATTTTATTGTTTCTTTATTATCAGCCCATCTGACCCATCCGTAAGTGTTGATTCGTTTCTGATATTTTCTCTGCCTTCAGGTATGCCATGATATGAAGAAAATTTCAATTCAATTTTACCCCCCCCCCAATCAATAAAAATAAAACCATTGGGTAAAAGAAAAAATAGCGTTAAAATACTTTTCATTTGAAGCTTCTAGCTCAATTTTGAAAGAAGTTGCATCAATTTTTGTAAAACAAATCTTAAAAATTCTTTTGCCTTACTTTTGCCACGATCCCCTGACTAAAAACTGAAAACATTTTGGGCGATCACACCCTCCCTGATTGAAAGCTGGCTATGCCCCTGGGGTAATCACTTGACCATAGGAAACATGTTTCACTGTCTTATTTAGAGACCTCTTCCATGAAATTCAGGGATTGGGCATTATAGACTATTCACCTAGTGTTCAGTATTAGGCAACATTAAGTGTTGACATTGACAGTTCAGGTTTATCTTGCACTTACACACCTACGATGTTGTAGGTGTCCTTGTACAAAATATTGCAATACTAAAACTTGTCTAGACGACATCAAATTTATAAATTAGATGTCTTATTCAATATATTGAACAAATAAATAGAACGTTTCTTCATTTATCAGTATACACCCCTCCATAATTTTGTAAACTGGGATCCTTTTTGGAAAATAATCCAAAACACCAATTTCTGACATGTTGTTAATGGTGCATTAAAATATAAAAAAAATATTGATTTTTATAATAAACCCAAAAATGTAGGTATATAAGAATAAAGACACTTTACAAACAATGAAAAAATTAGTTTTCCCAAACTTATATCGGAGAGTGTATATTAGACGTGTTTTAGAAAACTCATTCTGTAATCAAAACATGGACAATTCACAGCCATTCAAAAATGCTCTTATTTCAATTAAATTGTATTATTATATTTACTTGTCAACTTTTGAAAAAAAATGTTTGGGGATTTTCTGGTTGGAGGTTAAGACAAAATCCTGAGCCATATAACACATGTGAGACAATAACAACAGTAGCAAAGACATTCTCAAGACATTTAACTGACATCATGGATAACTATGTAAGTTAGAGATAAAATATGACTTTACAAATTTTTGATTTCATCATGTATTCATTTAATAAGTCAATTAAGTCAACTCCACACTTTTCTTAAATGAACATATTTTAGATTACTATTCTTACACTTTGATCGTTTCTTTAAAAACTATTATCAATTTTTTAAAATATAGAAGGGATCAATGTCAAAAAAGGCAACACTCAATAACAAAAAATTATAACATGTGAAGCCTCCAGAATGAAGATCTGTTCGCAATCTTCTATAATCAGATAATTTCACCTTTAAGGGCCATAGAAATTCAATTTAAATAAATGTTGAACTATAAACAATAGAATAACCAAACCTGATTAAAAAAGACTTATATTTTTAATTTTAGGAAAAACACAGTATAATATCAAAGAGACATATGGATTATATTCAGTCCCATCCTTCTACAAAGCTACACTACTTTCCAGACATTCCAGACACCCTGTATAAAGATGTAAGTTGACCAAGTATTAAACCAAATACATCAATGAATATCATTCAATAACATTTTTACCATGTGATCTTCTGTACTCTCTGTATTGCTACTGAGATTGTCCCCCCTGTACCAATATTTTCTGTATTGCTACGGAGATGAACAATGGGGACAATCTCAGTAGCAATACAGATTGGTACGGCACAAGAACTGACCAATCAGATTGCTAAATTTTACAGATCATATGATAAAATATAATATTGGTAGGTAGAACTTCTACGATAACTGTACGTAGCTAAAGCTATATTGTCATTAGAATTGAATTTAGCACAGAATTTAGCAAATAACAACTTAACATAATTGAATGTCAGGATAAAGTTTGATTATTATGTGTAGTGCTTATTAAAATAATTTAATGTGTTCATGCAATCACTTCGTAACACCAATTCAGTTTGAGTAAATATTCAACGTTTTTGATTGTTAATGAGGTTTAATCGATTTTATTGTGAAGTTCTATGTGGGCTATCTTAGACCATACATAGCAATACCTGTATTTCGAAATCCATATCATAAATATGATATACTTTGACTTTGTTGGGCTATCACTTTTATCTACTTGTGGATATTACCATATCTACTCTCTCACTGCACTCACTTGTTGACTCAATAAACCCCATTGAAAGAAATCTTAGGATATCCTCTTTATAACTGCAGATATATTTGCATTAACTTGAGATACATAAGGGTTTTGTACTGGGAGGTTTTGGATATGGGGTTTATCCAGAGGGAGATATGCATATCTACCCGAGGGACCGAAGGGACCGAAGGTAGATGTGCATATCTCACGAGGGATGAACCCAATATCCAAACCGACCGTACATAACTGCTTTATCCTATACCAAGTAGAGTTTTCAGGGGCATATGGCCATTTCAATAGTACAAGGTGTAAAAATAAACAAATCATTCATATGCAAAGTCATTTTATTGCATTTCCACTACTTACCGGAAGCGGGAAGACATGCACCGAAGCGGGAAGATATGCACCGAAGCGGGAAGATATGCACCGAAGCGGGAGATATGGCGGGAGATATGGAGGTTCTGGATATGGAAACCTCAAAATCAGGATACGGGATATATCTTACCAACTTATCTCCTTAAAACTCTACTTGGCATAGGATAAAGGCCTATATTGAATACTTACTACCCCTTGCATTTGTCTGATTTTGAGATCTTCAAAAAAGCTTTGGATCCAATAAAAGTTCAGGGTACAGAAATTCCTGATCACCCCTCGTATTAGCAACAACCTCTTATATTTAACAAATAAAGTAAAGTTATAATTGTCACATAACTGGAGAATTTCTCCTGAATAATTAAATACTAATGATGATTTCAGGTAGTACCAGCTGTGGTGAGAATATTCAAGGACCTTCAATGTATATCCTTATTTTTGGATTTAATAAACCATGAACTGGAGGAAGAAAGTGCCTCAGTACAAAAATATGCCACAGTGCAAACCAAAAGATTGATTCAACTGAAAAATGAGCTTCATCTCCTAATATTAGAGCACAAAGCTAGCATTCCAAAGAAAAATGACTTAACCATTGAAGATCTGCTGGATTTGAACAAAAACATAATAGAGAACACCTACCAGAGTTACTTCATGATTCTAAAGGAAGTGAAAACATATATGAAATTCATAGAGAAGCAGTTCCAACACTTGGTGAACTGTTCACTAGAACAAATGAAGGTGAACAATCATACAAAGACATGTTATATCAGACAAAGTGAAGTGAATATAAAACCAAAAGTAAAGATAACAATCAAAGTTACGCACTATCTTCCTTTACGTTCATTTTTAAATCTGCATGTGAAAATCATTCGAAAAATTATGTCACTGTAGCTAATTATAATTATAGTAACTTATAGAATAACTGATGGTTTGACTTTCCCAATCCTATTTATTCTATTTGTGAGGCTTGTTGCCAACATACAATGAAACAAATAAACTGATTAATGATTTTGATATGTTCTTATATATTCTCCAGGTAAACTGGAAATTTCAATATGAATCAAATCTTCAGAGTTCATAGATTATTGAATGATGTATCACTGGTGAGAAAATCAAAGGGATTGGTCAATAAAAAACATCTGTATAAAAAAGCGTCCATTACTTATTGATCACCCCTCGTATATATAAAAAAATTACATCTAGAAATGTGGTTCAAAAAATTATCTATCAACTTTAAAAATTTTTTTTTTTTTGAAAATGTGACTTCTAGGTCAGGTAAATTCCCCATAGACCCCGTGTTATAAAATCACAAAAGTGAAATATGACCAAATATCCTTTCATATGGAGATAATATTTTATTTTACTAGACATAGTTTCATTTGTATAATTTTCAGACAGATACAGCTTATATGAAAATTGACACACTTGAATTGATGAATATCCAAATTTGGGGAACTTTCTATTATATCTGCCACGTTATCTAACCCAAATTAGCCACCTGGGGGTGAAACCCACTGGCATCTGGTTTATTTCAGTACAAAATAAAAAAATTAAACTTACCACAAAATGTTTCTCCAAAATTTAAGAGCTCAATGTCTGACAGTATCTGAAAGTAAAGCTTTAATTGAGTAAAGGACAACAATCAGAAAATGTAAAGTGCCGGGACAGATCACGGATCAGATTACATACCCTATGCAGGCGGAGCTTGTGAGAAATGTTGGATGTGGCATGAATGAGCAAATGGGGCAGATTTAACTTTGTGTTATTTAAATTTTTGTTATTTCTAAAACTAAGAAATTTTTGGTCTTCAGATATATTTATATGTGGAGTTGAAACCTACGAGCAGTATCAATAAAATCGCAAACAAAATTTCGAACATCTCTAAAAAAAAAGTTATGTTACATCAAGGTGTGTGATCTTCACATCAGGTCATCACATCATGTTTTGTGAACGGAAAAACGTTTTTGTGAGCCGTATTAGTATTTATTCAACTTGAATACTCTGTTCGAGGTCATTTTTAAACAATGCAATTCACAAATACGCATGTACATGTGTGATTTTACTAACATTGTGTGCAAACTCGTATGAATCATGTATGAAATTATTGTGTATGTATTCTGCTAGACGCTATTCAATGTGTTAGAGATATCACATAAATATGTCCAATTTTGATACAATTTTAACAACATAGTGTAACGACCCTTGATAGCAAGTTGCTACTACAGTCCAGCTGTAGTGGCTCAAGCCTTTATAGCTCAGTCGGTAGAGCATCAGACTTCGGATCCAAGGGTCCTAGGTTCGATTCCCACACGGGGCATTGAATTTAGCACACTTTCTTTCAATTTCTTTATCTGGCTTGTTACACTATGCTCGTTAGTTAGTCATTCCCCTGGGGCGCCCTCGGGTCATTACAATACAAATGAAGGTGGTACGCAAGAGATGTTAGCCTATATGTCTGTCATCACTAAAGCTCTAGGCACAGATGTTGGCCAGATCATTATGTAGTAGGATCTGATAGGCTCAAAGAATAATTCAGAAGATGCGTCACTATATTGGAAAATTTCAAAACGTTCCTTAAATACAAAATGGTACCTGCTTCCCCGTGACAGATTTTGCACTTATTTTATAGCTGAGATCTTCATCTTTCTAATTCTACTTGTTTGGTTTGAGTAAATAACCTATGGATCCAAAGAACCGGAGCCAGATCTAGCCCCTATTGGTAGTATGCTCAAAGGATAAATGGGAAGATAAGACACGAGCCAAAAATGCTACATCAAAAATGACCACCCAAAAATATGACCCTCGTACTGACCTTTATTTTTTCCATCTGTCAGTCATTGATTGATCAATATTTACCCTGTAATCTCTTCTTTATGTATTAGTTTGAATGGTTGCATGATATCCATTATTGACACTGGGACTGGAATTTTCCCGGGACATTTCTTTCAAATTTTCAGAGCGTAAATATAATGGAGTGTTTGGTAATTTCCGGCAATATCCGATGTTGTTCGTCTCTCAAATAATGTCACATCACAACAAACAGCCTATGTCTATGTCTATGTCAATAATCTGCAAAAGGCTAATAAGCCCATATAAAGCAGATATATAATTTAACAGTGATAGAATTTGAATAGAATATAATTTAAAACCTTAACATTTAAAAATAGATCTATGGTTTACAACTCATTTTACCTGTGGAGACTGTCAGGCTACCGCGTTGACATCACCCCTCTTTACCAGTAGTGCAGGCTTGTTGCTGTGCACTTAAGACCCTTTACATTAAAACATAGATCTATATTAAAAACACACCTATTTAATTGCAGTTATTGACATAGGCATAGTATGATGATTTAAAACTACTTAGACTGTCACAGTCTAATATGTCACCAGGTAGAGTGTTCCATTTAGCTATTGTCCTAGGGAAATAGCTAAATTTGTATGCATCCGTTCTAGTTGATGGTTGTATGAACTTAGAAGGATGATACAACCTAGTGTTGGTATTGATCTGTTGGCGGAAGTATGGAGGCACGTCGATGGCTGCTAGGTTCTGCTTTCCTTTGTAGAAAAGGAAAACTCTAGCAGCCTCTCGACGCTCCTTCAGTGGCTCCCACTGTCGGTCTTGAAGAGCTTTGGTGACGCAGCCTGGTTCCCTTGAGTGACATTTGGTTACAAACCTGGCTGCTCTTCTCTGTACCTGTTCCAACATATCAATATCTTTTAGTCGGTATGGATCTCATGCCGAGCTGGCATACTCTAAATTAGGCCGGACTATTGACTTATACGCCTGAGCCTTCACTTTTTCAGGGCATTGATGGAGGTTGCGCCTGAGAAATCCAAGCACCTTATTGGCTTTGGATACAATAGTTTGAATATGTGTAGTCCAGCGTAAGTTATTTGTGATGTCAATTCCTAGGTATGGGATGTGTGTTACCGACTTAAGGTTTTCCCCTAGCATGGTGTAATTGTGCATGATAGGAGATTTACCTTTGTGAATATTTAGCACATAGCATTTTGATGGATGGAATTTCATTTGCCATGTTGATGCCCAGGAGACCAGTTTATCAAGATTCTCCTGTAGTGTTAATGCATCTTGCTTGCTTTCGACTGTCATGAATAAAAGGCTGTCGTCGGCAAAAAGCTTAAGACTGGCTGAGGATGATAGGTTATTGCCCATATCATTGATATAAACAAGGAAACAGAGTGGTCCAAGAACTGTTCCTTGAGGAACTCCTGATTTTACTGGAGTTTTTGAACTTGATTCACCATCGAGCACTACCTGTTGTGATCTTCCCACAAGCCAGGATCTGAACCAGCCAATGAAAGTAAAGATCGTGTCGCCTAATAAACCGTTGTTATTGTTTCTAAAGGATTTTAAAGATACCCCATGGGGTTTCTCGGTAATCTCTGATGTGACGTCATCCGGAGTGGTGTCATATTCTCAGAAAAGACTTCGGGAATAAACATTTGAACAACGGAAATAAGCGAAGCACTCCATTAAATATACGCTAGCTTATTTTATGCTTTTATCAACAGACGCTTTCTTGAATGTGACACCATGGCAGTTGAAAGCCCATGTAGACACAGAGGAGGTAATCTGGCAGAGGTCCGTGTATGAATGCAGTTATTTGACTTTTAATATGGCAAATATTTTTGTCTTGATCCAGGCTCTTGTGTGTCCAAATATCATTGTAATGCTGAAGTCACATTTCTAGAATGACGGACGGGAGGACCATTCAGATTTAGACAGACAAGAGCCCGAAGATAAAATATCACTATTTTGGCCTCTTATCAATGCAGTATTGCTTGAATACCGTTCATTAGTGATCAGATAGGTAAAGAACAAGCCACTTCGATAGAGGTATGATTTGTCTCATATATTTCTAAAATGGCTGCACAATCGTCTTTCTTAGTGACATATCTTCCGAATTATTCTTTGAGCTTCTGGGGCCGTGAATTCGTACGAATTCACCGGCCCATCCTACACTTTACAAAAGAATCTGGCCGGGATCTAGGCCTATGGCTCTGGGGTTTCCCTCTTCTTTGACTCTTTCCCACTGTAAAAAGTTCTCTGTGTTTTAGACGACGTGATTTTTGAAATTCACATGGCAAAAACGCCATTGTTTCCCGAAATTATTCTTACATAATGGTATTACCGTTTAAACTGATTAATATGTTTCATAGAATTGTCGAAGAGTCACAAAAGTAGAAAATGCAAACTTACCTTTTTCAAAAAAAAATTCTCCTTCCAGCAGCGCCACCTTTCGAATAATTCTTTTCGGTGAAATGACAAATAAGAGTTATTGAGTAAAGTCCATGCTAATTTTGATAACATTTACCAATGCATAGTATTTCTTATATTAGTAAAGGTGCTGTTTAATCAAAATATCTATGTGAAATTCCTTCTCAGACATTCGAGATTATACGTGACTTCCGCCATCAGAAAAGTAGGTCAACTTTTTCAGATTCCTGAAACTATCACAAAACTCTTAAAAAGTAAGATAAACTCATTCGAAGAGTATCGACAAGTGAAGGAATAGTTAGGTAAGTATCAAAAGATTTTATATCCGTAATTTCGTGGCATATACTGCATGCATTCATGTAAAAATCAACTTTAAATTTCAAGTTTTAATTATTTTTGATGTTTTTTTTACTTTTAACTTTGGCAAGTGTGTTGAATTGCAAGTCTCAGTAGCATGTTCGGAATTTTGCTGCATTCTTCAATTGAGTCACATCACGGATTAGAGAAACCGTTCTGCGAAGGATAGTATCAACAAGCAACATGTTTGGCAACAGGAATGAGAAAAAAATGAGAAGAGTACCTTCTTTCCCAAATCTCGCCTGAAATTAGCTCATCTTGGTGACTGTAGTCATATAAATCCGACCATCGTATGCTTTATTTGTCATTATTTTTTGATAATTTGGATATTTATTTTTTGTTATTTTCTTGCATACTAGGGTCGTACACACTTCCCGGTTGTAAATTGAGGGAAATGCTTTCCTGGCCTGTTTAGGCAACCAAAATCACACAAATTATGTATTAGAATATGCTTTTCATCGATAATGTATTTAATCCTACCTTACACACGTCAAACGCTTGATAATTGAAGAAGTATAAGAATTTTTCTGGAAAATTTTTTTTCCCCATGTGTAGATGCATTCTGGGTAATGATTGTGTAAAAGTAAAACTCTAGGTGAAGCGAAAAACGAAATTACAATAAATAACAGCAGCCATATTGAGATCGAGATTTCAACTCGAAAGTTTATCATCGTCTTATGACAATTGAATCGCCTTCTCAGACACCAAGGAGGGTGAAGAAACCGAAAACAGATATGTTGGTAATAAATAATTACGATTTCGTTTTGGTTGCATTGTTTCACATTTAGACAGTATTCAGTGACCTTGAGTGACCTTGAGAACCATATTGGAAATTGGTTCAAACATATACGAAAATGATTACATTTCTTCAATTATCAAGTACTTCCTGTGTTTAAGGTAAGAGTTAATACATTCTAGTTGAAGCATTGGATCCATTATCTTATCTGTGTAACTTTTGTTGAGCATAGAGGGCAGAAAAGCATTTACCGCAATATACAGGGCTTAATATCCTCGACGCAAATGTTGAAAACAAAAATAAAAAACAAATATCCAAATCGTCAAAAAGAAACGTGAAACAACAACATTAAGTCGAGTTCACTTGACTAGGTGACTGTAACTCGAACAGCTGTGTTGTGTAGAGTCTTGTCAAATCTAATCTGCCTCAATTTTAAAGTATTAGTTGTAATTTTACATGATTTCACTGTTTTTTGTGGACTGGTAAGATCCTGAAATGCAAATGGTACAATGGATGACTCTTCACCTCATTTTGACCGATGGTGGTCACGTGCAAATCACATGATCAATTTTATCTCGACGCTGATTGGTACAATTTGAATTTATTTGAAAGTTTCCCGCTTTAGAATGAGAATAGGTCACGTGACAGATCCGTTGCATTCTTTTGAGTTCTTCTGAGTTGACCTGTTTAAAGTACATTTAGTCCTAATTATCGCACATCACAACAATTTTGGAAACAATATTTTATATCTACTGAGATTAAGAAGCATCTAAATTCTAAGGTATGGCTGTGCCAGAATCGGTTCGGAATCTGAACTTTGTTTCACGGAATCAGAACTTTCAGACCACAAACCAAGAAACAAAAAAGAAATGAACCTACTTAATAAGATAATATGACAGTGTCTTGGCATAATTCGCACATCATTCTACATTTGTTTTGATCAATTGAAAGTAAAACTCCAAAGTAAACTTAAAAACTATCGATCTTTTATCCCCTTCTCCTCATGATTTGGTTTGCCGGCCATTTTCACTTTCATGTAAATCTAGATGGCAAACAAAAATATATATGAAATGTACACGCAACGGTACTCGTAAAATATCTGTCATAGGTGAGTATTTACTCAGATGTACCATAAATCTAGTTATCTTAGATAATTATAAAAAGTGTAGGTTGTAAAGATCGTTGTTAAATTGATTTAATTATTTATCAATCAGTGATTCTGCCCCGTCGATTCAAACTTCCAGTGAATGCTGAAGGTCATACTCTCAAATCAAAACAAAATTTGATTTCAATGCTATTTATTATATTTATACGACTAATACACATGTATATTTGACGCAGTTTGAAGGCAAACATTACCGGGGAAACACTGGACTTAGATATAACATTTCAAAATTCAAAGCCAATAGTAGGTAAGGTTCTGATGCTTGTTCTGAAACCCTTCGGAACATGATATGAAATTTCCGAATACCGGTATTCAAGCAAAAGTTTGCGGTTCGGACCGACTTCGGTCGAATGGCATGGCCCTAATCTAAGGTACTAAAACTGAGGTGATAAAAAGGCTTGTTGATACTCTCCTTCACAGAACAATTCCTCCAATCCATGAGCCACATGTTATTTTTCAAACAGGAATCACTCCTTCCCCACATTGTCTACATCTTCTAGTTTTGCAAAAAAGTGCACTTATGTAACTAGAAAAGATTGGGGAGAAGATTTGTTTTGCAAAATGTATAAAAAACGAGAGAATGTTTTGCTAAAATTTTTAAAAATTTTATCAAAACATTCTTCTCTACATTTTTTCTAGGTACATTAGTGCACTCGTTTTGCAAAAGTGAGAGATGTAGACATTGTGGAGAAGGAGTGATTCAAATTTGAGAAATAACATGTGACCCTATTGAGGGTTGCAGCAAAATTCGGAACATGCACCCTGACCTTAAGCTGTATGATGTCATCTTTGTTACAAAGGCACCGGGACAGCTAGTAGAATTACCCCACCCTTGCTGTATACCAGGGAAAATAGACAGAAGACTTGAGAAAAATTTCACTCCATGCTGTATATCTTGTATCTTATCTCTTATCTCAAGAATTGGTGTTCAGCTGACTTTTACTGAGCATCTCACTGTTATGACAAATCAATATCTAACTGCCATCCATAAGGACAATCTGCAAGAGGTCCATTTTTTAGATTTGGCTTTGAAAGACCATAGCCTTTAGTATCCAATTCATTGGCGCAAATAATTATTATAAACATGCATCCTAAGTTTTAAAAAACCAAATTTTAGAGTTAAAATGTTCCAAACATAATGTAGCAAGGGTATCTACATTCGTAATGTATCTACTGGCATAATGTAAACTACAAATAATATGATTAATAATAAATAATATGAACATTGACAGTATGGGGTGAAATTTTTCAATAAACACCTGTCTTCATTCTTCGTATACAGACAACAAGGAGGGAAATTTAGATTTTCGGGACAACTCTACTAAATTTTCTGTGATTTGTTGTGTCTTGCTCAAACCCACACTTTGATATAAATATGTACTTTTATCTGTTTAGTAATATTCTGGCTTGACATTCATATTTGACATACCATCAGAGTGTCCATTTTTATAAAGAAGCATTTGATTCGCAGACTGGTCAAGCGCTCTTCTATTGCCTCGGCCTCTGCAAAACAAGGTTCTACTAGCTAATAAACAGTATCAGAGGAGAATTAATAACAAGTTAAAGAAATCTGCTATGATTCCATCCATGGCAAAGTAGAGGCTGTCCATCTGATGTAAGGTTGTGTTGTTGTTGGGTATGCAAAAATAGTTTTTGATAAATCATTTTCTGGAACAAACTAATATAGATATCGCAATATACAGGTTTAGAATTTAAATTTATCGCTCATGTCATGATAAGAAAATGGATACATAAAGGTTTGATATTTAAACTACCAGTTCTCAACACTCAGAAAGGGGTAAATTTTAACATACAGTATTTTTATTATTATTTGGCAATTGTGACACACAACATTAATGTACGTATTGTACCATAAATTGTGCTAGTTCACCAAAGCATTCAAAAGGAGTCGGAGGAGTCCAGAGAATGTTTTTGCATTTAGTATTTTAGTGCAACTGTTTTAGCATTAAATCTGAAATTTAAACATGTCATATATATTATTGTTTACTCTTGAAAATTATTGATGCAATGATGTCAAAATATGGCATATTCGGACAATGCTATTGGTTCATGAGGACATTTTGGTACTTTATTGTATTTAGGAAGAGCTACATGTATATTGCATTGTCTTATGCTACAGCCAGCTGGTAGGCAGCACAAGAAATTATTTAGATGTTCTAAAGATAGCTAGAAAACTGCTTTTTACCAATGAATATCACTCCTATTTAAGCAAACAATGGCTTCAAAGTCTGCCATTTTAGAAAAATAAAGTAAGCAATTTGTCCTTAGGTTCCAGTATACAGTGCCTAATGTGGGAGAGTCTTTAAAAATATGACCTTATGAAGTTCTAATGGTATTTTTGAGAAATAACAAAAACACATGATTTCAAACCAAAAGTGTTAACCTTATAGATGAGCTTATATGAATAAGTAAATGTCACCTATAGTATGTGGAACATATCAGGTTTCTAAATTACTATGCTCATTTTCATCATTTTGATAATTAAGCTCTTTCATCTCCTTTGGTGCTACAATTAAAAAAAAATTATAAGCATCATGCTTTTGGTATAATTGATACAATAACCTGAAATTATACAAAAGAAATGTTACTGTGGTATACCATAATGCTGTATCTAAACTAGTAATAAACAACCATTTAGTTTTAAAGCAGCTCTTAACTACATCTGTAAATACCAGGCTGTCTTTTATACTGGAATAAAAGTCCTTGTACAGAAGTCCCCACCTGTTTTCAATTTTTGAACCTTACTTGTAGAATTTAATACTCCCTTTAGTCTCTTTCAGCTAGTTTTCCAAACTTTAATTTCTGTATGGATTTGGCTTCAAACAGCTTTAGCTTGAAGCAAATGCTTGAGCTTGTTTAGAATGTACAAGGATCATTATACTGTACATATATGTAGAATACATTTGTATAAAAATCATGAATGAAGATCCATTCAAGAAATCATACTCTACATTTTTCAATTTGTCTATCCAGAATTAATACATGTTGTTGATTTGATTCAAGCCCAGTGTGAGGAAGTATTGAGTTAAATTTATTTATAAAGCCCATGGTCTGTAGTATACAAACTACAAATGTTGATTTGTTTTTATGTGGTTATTCATCTGACCGACTTGTTATGAAAAAATCTAATCAAGGTGAAATATCTGAATTTCAGTTATGTTTTTAAGGTCACGATTTTTTCACTTCCTGTTTTTATTTTAAATGAAATATTGATTCATTTCCATGTTCATGAGACATACAAATCTGTGGAAGTGAAAATATCTCCTTTTTGTGTAATTTTAATCCAAATGGATTGTGGTCCGTGGTTATACATATGACCCCCCTGTAGTTATTACTCGTCTAATAGTATTTCCTTTTAGCTTTGTTTATTTTATGATCAGACTATGTAACATATAGACAAACAGGGAAATTGTTCATGATTATTGTCTGATTCATAAGCCCTAAATTAGAAAATTTTGGAATAAATTCTGAATTTATTAGTTGTGGCAAATAAGCTAGGTGGTCTACTAATCAGTGGATGTAAAAACAACTTGTATTTTGAAGTGATGAATAAATGAAATAGCTCAGGATTGTTATTTTTAAAAGATTTCGATCAGGAGAAAAATGGATAATAGAAAACCTTGATTGAGATCTTATATGGATGTTTTAAACCAAATAGGATCACATTAACACAGTTATAGTTGGTGACATTTAAATCTAAGAAATAGGATTTTATAATGTGAAGTAGGCTGAAAGTTATACCGATCCATTCTGTTAAAATATTAAGATCAATTGAAATGAGATAAGAGATGACTATTGATAGTTTGGAGTATATAGCAGAAAGAACACAGCGACCTGTTGGTATCATGAAGTACTACTATACTTTAGAAGAAGTTGCTTTGGAGGTAAGTCACAATCAAGTGATGATTTTGCATCAAGCCCTTGGTCCCCTACTTTATTCTCTGAGAAAGGGGGAGGGGCTTAATAGGCCTAGCCAGGGGGGTGCGATGGGTGCGATTTTACTGATTATCTGGCTGTCTGGCACATTAATTAGCTTCAGGGCATAATGAGGCAGAATGCCATGTTAGTTGTTTGCATCACATCTATTTTTAGAGGATTAGGTCATAAGGCATATCTACCTTATATTTCAATATGCAAAATAAATGTATACTTTCATGTTTATGGCTGTTTATTCCAATGTAGAAATACAGCCAAATTTACAAAAAACAAAGTTAGCATTTAGGTTACACTTGCGCATTAAGTGATGTGAAAATCGTCATTATTTTTGTTTGAATAAGATCTGGTATACATTTCAATGTGTTACTTGACAGATTAAAATGCTAGTAAACGTGAAAAAGATAAAAAGAGTTTGATGCATTTTACATGTGCAAACATATCTTATTTTATAAGCAGTCGGATGGAATCCAGTTAAAGGGAGTGTTAAAAAGGTCATAGTTTTCAATGTCAGCATGGGCAAATAATGGAACATGGTAAATATATGCTATATTAAAATGATTTTATTTAAGTTTGAATCTATGGTATTAATAACAAGTCATAATGTGATATTCTGTTTCATTCATATGGAATTCTTCATATTACATGTAATAATGTGTGATCTTAACATGATTATTAATGTGTTTTTTTTACATTTGAAGGTACACGAAACATCAATGAAATGGCTATCAAAGTGTCATAAAAAAGGATTCAATGTTTGAAGTTCTAGTTTGTATCTTATTTCTGGAATAAGCTATCATATGAAGGTGGAAGGTCCTCAAGTTGAGTTTCTATTGGTGCACTTGGCTCAGTTATAACTGGAGCACTTGGCTGTTGAGGTTGTGGGCTTGATGGTCCCATTCCTTGTTTTGTTGGCCATGTATAGGCCTGGAATTTTCCATGTGTTGGCTGGGAATATGGATCGGTGCGGACAGTTGACGGGTAACTATCATCATTTTCAGCCGAATCTTCAATGAGTGAATATCTGGGGTTTGGGTTGCTTTGTTGCCGTGGATACAGTGATGATGTCACATTAGTAAATAAAGAATATTGACCATTTCTTTTTCTGCAATAGTCCTTTATGAATAAGACAAATGTTATAGCACTCCCTATTAAACCAGGTATGATAAGGAAAAGTATAAAGTAGATTGTATATCTAGGATAGCAATATGTTACAACATCAATATTGTCTAGTTCAGAATCAGGTTTGAAATTGATGAGGATTTTTTTCGGTGACAGGTAATTCATATCCAGACTGCATTGCTGATTGTTTCCACCCAATGAACACTTGTTAATCGGATTTGTGGTATCATACTGTGCTCTGTTAATCAAAAAGCCAGCTGTTATTGCTGTGTAAGGTAAATTAGAATGAGTGTATTTCAGACTTGCATATATGAAAAAGTAATCATCTTCTTTATTGATTGGAATGTTGGCTGTGAATTTGGTTGAACTCCTCCCTGGGATGTATCGGTATGTATAACTGGCTAGCTTACATCCCCAGCATTCCGCATCATTCTTCCATCTCTCTAGATTCATTTTCCCTTTTATTACATAAAGGTCTATATCATTAACTATGGTTGTGTCCACTTGTACATTTGAGCCTGGGAGTAAATGGAATCCCCAGAACTCATACTTGAAAGGAAGAACAGTGGTTCCTTTTTGGAGTTTTTGACTTAGTTTAGTCTCAGACAGTGGTGGTGTTTTTGAAAATTGAAGGACGTCGACTGCTGTGTTGATTTGACTTAGTTTTATATCAATTCCTGTACACATAAATGCAGATTGGTAGTTTGGCAGAAGCAGGGAGTCACCAGGCGCAGCAGATATGGATTTTTGACCATATATGCCAAAACGTACTGTCAATCCTATTAAAAGAGTCAAAATGCCTATGCCAGTCCAGAGCAGAAAAATTTTGCGTTTAGTTGACATTCTGTTTTTTAAGAAGAACAGCACACATAATTTACACATACATTTGCAACAGTCTTCTCCTGGTCTGTGATGTGGTCTTGGTGAGCAACAATCATCTCTTGGTCTTGGTGAGCAACAGTCATCTCTTGGTCTTGGTGAGCAACAGTCATCTCTTGGTCTTTGTGAGCAACAGTCTCTTCCTGGTGCTATGTCCCATCTGTGTCTGTCATGGGAGGACCAGAAACTACTCCCAATCGAAATACTCCCCATTTTATGCATCGTAGTATCTGTGTCTTAAAAAATAAAAATGCAAACATGAATAAAAATTAAATACATGATGTACATGTATATGCATATTTGATATGGAACTCGGAAATATGTATTTTTTAGGTTTTATGGTTCATAGATTCTAACTATTTTTTTATGTTTGAAATTCAATATTATATAATTATAGGAAACATTAATAAATGAATAAAATAATAGTTGAATTCATACATATAATACAACTTACATCAAATGCATGATGTGACTAAGTTAAAAAAGAAAAACTCTATTTCCAAGTTACCTTACTCCTTAGTGTTTCTATGACATTGATATTAAACATATCTTACCTGTTTCTCTTCAAGTGGTCTGTGTATCAAGTCTAACTAGTTTTAATATACGTCTCTGCAGGCCTAAATGTGCATGTGCTTGCTGTATTTATACTATATGTTCTGAGTCAGTATATTGGCAGCATTTCATCAGCATTTACTAAGTACATATATTGAAAATATTATATGTAACCAGCATATAGGAGATCAATGTTAAACTTTTAAGCAAATATAAAGGGCCCTCTAGTTAATCCATTGTTTAAAGATGATTCATAATCATTATGTGTGACCTGTGTTTATTATACACGTGTTTTCATATGGTTGGATAAATAAAGATGCATTTTTTATAATTATTTTATGTTAATTCTGGTATTATGCCAATTGATGATTTTTTCATAATTATTTTATGTTAATTCTGGTTTTATGGTGATTAATGAAGAAAGGGGGCTAACAAATATAATAAACATGGTGCACCTTATATGTAAGTTAAGGCTCTGAATTATCTCATCTAATCTTAAGACTCTTAGGTTGTAGCTTTGCCTATTGACTGTACGTGAATAGAGAAACTCGTCTAAGTTGAATACTACTACTGTACAATAGTAAGAGTCATATGATAAAAATGAAACTGAAAAAGAGTCACAATATTATTTGAATATATATTTGATAAACAGATTACTACACTTTTAAACTGCATTCTAGATTTGACTTCTTTTCTGCTAGATAGATGTCACTGGTGTGAAAATAGACTACCAGTGAGTTTTTATTAAACCATGTAGCAAGAGGTCTGAATCATACACTAAATGTTAAACCTGATGAAATTGATATTGTTTTAAAGATACTTTACTCAGTTACTTGAGACTGGTAAGAAAGTTTTTCAATTTTTTAAGATAATCCAGTGGATTGAATTCTTATAAATGTTGGTCAACTGCAATTTTTTAACACAGAAATATGTAATACCACCCATGATGGTATATTACTTTCAGATGTATTTTTAAAATTCAGAGTTAATGATGCATGAAACCTACCTGAATGTTAAGTATGAAATATGAAGTCAACTGGCACTTGAAGAATGAATTTTCATAATATTAGATGGCTACCCAGATATACAGATGTTACATACATAGCTTAACGTCTTCAATAATCAGAAAACCTAGATTGAAATCTATCTGCAATATAAAATCCTAAATACTTTTAAATAAGTTGAGTATTTTATGAAAGAGAGAGATTCAAGTAGTGCAGTAGTCCAACAGAATACTTTTAAATTCTGAGCAAATAGGTGTCAAATATAAGTCAAATGTGAAGAATACTTGACTTGCGGAAGTTGTAGGCTTATATTTTTTTAGCAATCAAACCTCTTGTTTATGACATCATTAATCAACACTGTATAAAACTGGCTAGCCCTGACTGTTTTTGATTTGCTAATTTATATATAAAATTATACCATGGTCAGAACAATATCAGGTATATAATAGCAAGTGATAAATCACATATTTAGGACAGGGACGATATCATTAGAGAGATGATATCAGGGTTGATATTGATACCATCCCGGGTAAATTCAAAATTTTTACATTTTTTCCCCAAAAATTTATTTTTTCAAAAAAAACATTTTTTCAAAATTTTTCATTTTCCGAAATAATGTTTTCATTTTTTCAAAATTTTTCATTTTTTCAAAAATCAGTTTTGCTCTTACATGGTCTTGACCCTCGATCACTGCGTTCCCTCGGGAAATATTGATCCTTGTGACCCCATATCAAATCCCTCCTGGTAAATAACTACTTTTTATGTATTAAATATTATGATGATTTCAAATATATAAAAATAAGTTATTTTTATTTTTGAATGATTCGGTTTCATATACATGTTTGTATACATGTACTCCTAGCCTGGTATTGACATATTATACCCAAATACAAATCGTTTAATTTTCTATAAAGCTTGTATAATAACTTCCTTGAATCGACAGCCTATTCCCTAGAGCCCTTTCAGTGCTGCCAAACCTCTATGGATTATTGCTAATCCTTCTATCCCACTTGAAATACCAATCAATTTTTCTGTCTGTGTATTCGTATCGAGTGTCTACAGTAAAGAATAAATGTTATACAAATTTCACTAATTGCTTCCTTGCTGAATGAATCAGTAGAAATTGGTAGACATTTACATGTAACGTTGGTGTTTTTGCCGTACAGTGTTGGATTATATGGAAAGTAGAAGCAGATATTGGAGTATCTCTAGAGTACTTTAGATACCAACGCCAGCTATGGTTAGTAATGTTAATTCAGTAAGTAGGGCATTTTTGTTGTAATCATGATATACAAATCATTGTGTGATTATAGAGATGGTTATTTCATCAACATTGATGATTAAAGATGTATGGGTTAAGCCTTTTAGGCTATAATTGTTGTTTGGACCACATCATTGTCAAGTGATTGCTGTGGTGTCACATACTATATGGGTCATTGTCATACAATAACATGAAGAATGCATAAAAACATGTATTCTGTAGATTTGATCTGCTTTGTTCTTGTTCCATCATCATTTTTTTGTTTGTTTATTTGCTAGGTTAATGAGAACATGTGATCATTATGCTTCTGTAATGAAGTTGCCATAGCAACATATATCTCATCTTGGTGTCTATGGTTTCACATTCATTGATCTCTCTTCATCAAAAGGACACATTTTAGGGATAAAATATTACATCTAACTCGGAGCTAAAACTAAATCCACAAAATAAATTGGATGTTCTATATACACAGATACGATCAGGAAATCAATGGGAAATATGTTCTGGATGAATATTGTAATTACAATACATTAAAGACACTAGCCCATCCTCAATATTTCCTGGTTCATGTTTTATAATTTAGATTATGCCATAATGACACCAAGAGAGTGATTACCATGGTAACCTAATACATCGATATGTTAACCATGATGGCATTGTTAATTGATATTTTTTACAATGATTCATCAGATTAATCATGACTGTATTTTCATTGGGTTAAGCATGCTGCCAGCCTGACAAACATCTTTCAGACTTCAAGTCATTTATATGACTCCCATTTTGTTCTCCCATAGGAAGGGAAGGGAAGGGGAGGTATTATGGTACTAAGCAAGCTAAATTGTGTTCAATTCAGTAAGGAGATCATTGCGTTAGATGTTTATGTTCAGTTAAATTTATTAATAAATTGAAACATGTCTTTAGTGAACAACTCTTGTGAACACCCTTGTCTAATGAACATCCCTTCTCAGCACATACTCTGAGTTGTCTTCCATATAAAACTGCCCCTATGTAGTGAACACAATGAACACTTTTGTACACTGTTCACTGTTTTACTGGATATGATATTTTAAGATAAACCTCTGCTTGTACCCTAATGATTCTTAATATAAATACTGTTACTTGAATCAATCTTGAAAATGTGTAGCTTGGGACCCTTAGTATCTTACCTCCAATAAAAAAGAAGTATTTCACAATTAAAAATGCAGGTCAGTAGCAGTAGTTCCATGAACCTTAAGGAGGTGTTACATTTTGGTCTTTGCCTGTGACATTTAGTATTCAATACTGGACAATTATTTGAATTCAGCCCAGAAGTAAACCACCGCCATTTGTACTGTTATGTTATATTGCGATATTGTAATTATATAGATGGAGGAAGTACTTGTCTTTAAAGTAGTAATTATATTATTTAAATAGAAATACAAACAGTGAGTCATATGAAATATCACCTGTCTTGTATGGTTTTGCCAATAAAAATGAAAGCTGTATCTCTGATGTAAATTCTTGTAGAAAAATCAGCTACTAGTTGTTCTTAAAATAATATTTAAATGATAATAATAATTTTTCCTTCATTGTGAAAAGCTGAACTTTTAACATGCTAAATCGAATTCATTTTCCAATATTACCAATAAGCACCTAAACTTTCATAGAAATTTGTAAATCACTTACTGAGAAAGAGCTACATAGGTTATTGCAAACTACAAGTATTTCAGACAGTTTTCTTGAATTATGATTATTTTTAATCATGAAGATAGGTGTATCTTTGAGATCCTTTTATCATATCCAAGAAAAGTATATACAGTAAAACCTGTGTGTATTGAACATTTTTTGCGAAGTAAAAACATTCAGTGTTGGTGTGTGTTCCCTACAGAGAGGGTAATTTATACAGAAGTCAGATGAGTATGTGTGGAGGAAGGAATTTTATTAGAGACAGGTGTTCACTAGAGAGAGGTGTTCACTAAGACAGGTTTTACTGTATACATGTAATGATAATTAAGTTACTCAGACTTTAACCTGACTGGCTTGCATAAAATGAGAAACCTTGAGGATTATGGGTAGACACCTCATGTTTATGCATAAATATCAAGGTAAAATGGAAATTATTCTCCAAAAGTCTTTTTTAAACATTTCATTTTATCACTGTATAAAATTCAGTAAGAGTGCTTATAATATGCTTTTTTGATAAGGGTTTCAGAAAGTTGAGTCTAGAGCAATGTTTTATGAATTTTCCCCTTGGATTTGATATCAAAGATCAAGCCTTTTTTAAATTAGATTTTGTATATGGTATGTGCCTCTTAATCAGTTAATTGAAATTAATACACCATATTTGATGATGGTTAGCTATGGATCACCCAGATTCCTTCTTTGAACTGCCAAAAACAATCTTTTCCAGAGTTAATTCAAACTAACCCGTTTGATATGTACCCTATGGTTTGAATGATGTTTTTTCAGCATATTTCAACAAAATAGTTGTACGTTATCAAGTCATAAATTGTAAAGATTAGCTCATAACATAGCTGTTGAGGTTATTGGAAATCAGGTATTTTAGAATTTGGCCAGGTCCCTGGACACCAGTGTTGGTATGGAATATGGTCGATACTAGATCAGGCCGCCAGAGCTAAAAATATTCTTTGAGTCCTGAATGCAATGTCAACGAAGGTCATTATTTTTAATATGTTGAATGAAAAATACATTATAATCTATGCTTGCTTAGTGTCAGTTTTGGTCAGTTTTGATATAGTTATGCGCCCCAATAGCGATTAGACCTGGGAGTCAGATACAAATTAACAACTTTATTAGGGTTACAACAATCTTTAATTGCCTGAGACATAACTTTTAGAACAATTTCAGCTTTATGAGTGACATAATAATGAATTTCCAGAAAAAAATGAAATTTA